CCCCCCCCCCGCGTCGAAAGTTGCATTGATTGACTAATTGCTACTTCATTAATAAAAGAAGTGCAGACAGTTTAGAGATCCATTTTGCTTTATTCTATCACACCCCAAAGCAAAAGAATAGTGGATTTTTTCCTTATAAGAAATTATTTGTGTGGTTGTATTGTTTCTTTCCTTTCAAAATAAACACAAATTTATTTTTTCAAATAAGCATGCCAAGAAAAAATGGGGGGAATTTTGGGGATGAAGAGGGAATAAGTTATCGGGTATAATTATCTCGTATGCATCAGCCCCAAACCCTATTATGTATCTCATAGCATGGTTTTAAAAGCAAAAAAAGGCAGACTGCCTAGAGGCAGCAAGGCAGAAGGTTTTTGCATCAGAGGCGTAAACCAAGTAGGCTTATGTGAGGCATACACCTTAATGTGTTGAGGCAGTCAAGGTGGTTTGAGGCAGGAGGCCGAAGTGAGGCCGTAAGCCTTAGTCCTAATGAATGCTCCCTGCATCCATAAAACACTATTGCAACTAAATAATTAATCCATAAACATTAAAGAAATATATTTTCATATTATAAGGTCTCAAACGCAGCAAAGTCTAGCATGAGATAATACAAAATATTGCCCGAAGGTGATGAACTTAGATTGACATATGCAAAAAATGCCATCGGTTCTTAAAACATTGTCCGAAGTTGCCTTTCCTATATGTATTGGAGCCCGACTCTTCTTTGAGAGTTGTTCCAACCGCTTGATGAACCGGTGAATGTATTCACACTTTGATAGTAGGCACCAATGTCAATAAGCTCCTCCGAGTTTCTTGCGTTCACTTTCTTTGTCTTTTTGGCCAAATTCAGAAGAGCCAAGATCTTTTGTTTAAAATCTCTGGGAACCTTTGGACCTAGTGCCAAAAATTTCCTCATCTCCGATTCCCCGGGAACCTTTTCGACACATATCGCTCAAACCTCAAATAAGCCATATCTTTTTCTTCTTACATCTGAAGGAAATTTGATAGACATAATCACCAATGACACAATTTAAACACACATGTTGGCAATGAAAACTCAATGGGAGGATTGCAACATTGACTATTATGAGATTAAAGGTTGATAGCATATCATGGAAGCTTGAAAAAGAATATTTCAAAACGACTATTGATTTAGCTACTGGAGACTGGAGCTTCTGATTTGGGAAACATACTGTTTAGGAGGCTGTGTTGTAACATGTGAGAAGTGTGGATGATGAAGAATTGAGAAATATGCTGTGGTAATGGGTTGGTGACTAGTTTGTAGGAGCCCATCAGAGATCCATAGTGGCATTAGAAGCCCATTGTGGTGGCTTGGGCACTGGGACAGACAACTCTATCACCCAGGACAGTCGTCCCGGGTGATATTCTGCCCAGTACGATGGGCTTCATTAGGTGTCTACTGCTCTTTACACCGCTCCTTCACCATGTCCGCATGATGGCAGAGCCCTTGCCCGGCCTGCAGCAATATCTTCATGCTTCTTTACTCCCATCGTTTGCTCCCATAATTCCCTCACTACATGACAACGATAATTCACATCCCCGTGGCTGGATTAGGTAAGTTGATAAAATGTACATACATCCCTTTTCCCTTTCTGGCTTGGGGGAAACTTTGGAAGCCACTTGGACCAGTATTAACTTGTCATTTTGTCACCTTGATTTGAGCTTCTGTCAAGGGACCCTTAGGAACTTGAAATTCTACAGCCATTGGGTTTATATGTTTATTTTTATTTTTCCTTATTAAATGATCATGATTATAATTATGTTTCATTTTCTACCAATGAGTCATTTTCTTTATTATTAGTTACTTTCTAATTGTGACAACTTTCTTCCACTATATCTAAATTTAATCTTTGAAAACTCTAGTCCGGAGTCTTCTTACATCATCATTTTTTATCCGTGTAGTTCACCGATGAAAATGGGCTAAGGCAACATGTGTGGCAGACATCTTGGGCAATCAGCAGTCGGTTTGTGGGTGGGATTATTATGACACATGGGGATGATGCTGGTTTAATGTTGCCTCCATGTTTAGCACCAGTACAGGTATTTCCTGAATCCTTTGAAGGGGAAAATTATGGTTTCAATATAATGTGTGTTCCAACTTGTCTGATTGGAGACTGGTCAGTAAGAAATTAAACATTACCTGTTTAATGATGCAGGTTATAATCATCCCAATATGGAAGAAAGATGACGAAAAGACAGGAGTTCTAACAACTGCATCATCTGTTAAAGAAATCCTGCAATCTGCAGGAATCAAGGTTAAGATTGATGGTTCTGAACAGAAGACGCCAGGATGGAAATTTAACTTCTACGAAATGAAGGTGTGTTAGTGTATGAGTACTAGCGTTTAAGATATAAGAAAAAAAAGATAAAATATATGACTGATCCACTGTGCAGCAAGGTATATTTAACATGCTGGGCTTATTTCTCTAACAAGCATTCTTATTAGTAGGGAGTTCCTCTCAGAATTGAGATTGGACCTCGAGACGTTTCAAGTAGAAGTGTAGTCATCGCTAGACGAGATGTTCCAGGGAAGCAGGGGAAAGCTTTTGGTATTTCAATGGAACAGTCAACTCTAGTGTCTTATGTAAAAACCAAATTGGCTGAGGTTCAGTCATCACTTTTGGAAAGAGCAATATCTTTTCGAGATAGGTAAGTAATCCCAACCTTTTCTTTTGCAGGGAATGTCATGTAATATGTGAATGAATTACTGCATGGTGATTGATCTGTTTGTTTTACTTCTTTCACTTGCTACCAGTATTTTGTAGTCGAATGTTTGGCGAAACTTGTTTGATTTGTTTTGAAATTTGGTAGTTGCATACTTTAAAAGTTTAAAGTACAAATCTTATATCATCTTAAGTATTTTAGGCAGTTAGGTGTTATTTTTAATGTGGATTGTGTTTTTATGTGTTTGGATTTTCACATTATTATGGCAAATACTAATCTTTGGTTCCTTGTGCATTGTGCTCTTGAGGCACGTGCCTCAAATAGGTTCTTAATGTGTCTTGAGTTTGTATGTTCACATTCTGGTGATGTGAAATTTAGCAAGCTTGCCTTAATACACGATGCAAATGTTTTTTGAGCACTATTAACTCTATTACAATGTAGTATCTGTTCACACATACTTTATCAATCAATTGAAGCACAAAGAGTTAATGTCCCCACTAGGATTTGAACCTGTGACTTCTTTGAAGAGAAAGTTTATAGTTATGCTGTTGAGCCACAAAGTCTTTGACATACATGACGCAAATGTATGAACAACTGAACAAGTTTCACTACACTTGACAAAAATGGATCTAACCTATTTTTAACTTGATACCGACCCAAAAATACTAGGTTCTGAACAATGATTTTTTTAATCAAATATGATGATGACTGAACCCAAAATGATCCGCTAAAAATGGGTTAAACCCGATAGAACCAAATTTGATCACCTGCTAAAGTAATGTTTTTTTCATAGTCATGTACTGAAGTTTTAAATATAATGCGATGAAAATAACATTATACGGAGTATTATATTTTTTCTTATTACTCCGTTTTAGTGTACAAACTTAACTTTTCAAATGCGTTTTTAATGATATCGTATTGTTATCTTTTTTTGTTTATATAAAAAAGTGTACATATTTATTTATCTTATATTATTTATAATATTAATGTATATTTCTAGAAATCTAATTAAAAATTCAAAAGATATTGCTAGCTCTATGTTTCACTGTAATACTTAATTAATTGCCAGCTCTATGTTTCATGGTGATAATTATTTTGAGGGAATATTTATGTTTTATGAGGTAGTGTGTTGTATTTGAACTCTCTGCTTTCAAGTTTTAACGAATGGAGTTGCTAATGTTTTAAATATGTTTGTAGTAACATTGTGGACGTTTGCTCTTATAATGAGCTAAAGGAGGCAATATCTCAGGGTAAATGGGCAAGAGGACCATGGTCAGCCAGGTAAAGTCCCACCTTCCTTTTCCTATACTTTGTACTATCCAACTCATCTTGTAGAGCCATTAAGAATGTAGCCTGCAATGGAGTTGTGGTTTTCTCAATCCCACCATGAACACGGGTCCCAAACCGTGTCCCAACTCCCTGTCCCACCAATCAAAATTTGACACATAACCCACCCCACCCTAAGCTGAGTTTGTGTTAAATGAGAGGGTGGGTTGAGTTATGTGTCAAATTGTGATTGGTAGGACAGGGAATTGGGACACGGTTTGGAGGCAGAGGATCCCCTCCCCATGAACACAGAGTCATGTACTTTATTTTATTAAATGTTACAGCGACAGCGATGAATTAAAAGTGAAAGAAGAAACGGGAGCAACAATTCGATGCTTCCCTTTCGAGCAGCCTGAGGGGCCGAAGAAGTGTTTGTTGACTGGTAATTCGGCACACGAAGTCGCCATTTTTGCGAAATCATATTAGTAGTTATGGACCGCCATTGTCTACATTTTTGGGATTGAAGTTATAATGAGATTAGAGGTAAGATGGGAATGGATGGATAGTCTTTAACTATTTTGGGACAAAATATAGGAGATTCTATTTTGTTTTCAAATATGTACTGCTTGAATTGGTTTTACGACGCCTAATAAACTGAACCCTAAAAAAGTTACTCCCCGTCCTGTTTGAAAGTTCACATTACGGTTTATGATGTTTGGTCAATATGATTTTCTATTTAATTTATTTCATAACAGGTAGTACAAAATTAGAAGTTAAAATGTTTAAAATCTATTTTTTGAAACCTCAGCACAAAGATATTATTCGCCAAAGACCGTCAACAACATACATGAAGTTATGAATATCTACTCTACTGTAAACAGCAATCACATACTACCTACGTATCTGAATATTTATCCAGTTTTGACTTTTTTCAGTCAATTACTTCGTATTACTGTAAATCCTTTTTTCAACTTACTGTTCATATAACAAGTGACAAGGAACCATATATTTGCAGTCTATCAAAGCATGAGCCATATGTAACCTTTTTCAGGTGTATATTCATCCAAATGCTACTAAACTCCTTTAAAATCTTCAAGGTACATAAAAATATATAGAAAAAATATTACTCTCTCCGTCCCTTAAACTCTTTTATCCTTGTTAATTCTTATCTTACCTATCACTTCATATCTTTTGACTAATAATCTATCGATCACATCTTATTTTTACCTATCACATCAAGAGTTTTTTTGGAAAATCAACACAAAAATATTTCTCATTTAGATTTAGGATTGGGTATGAACATCTGGATTGGGTAATAAGACACTTGGGTTGATTCACATTAAAAGATTGAATCCAATTGATTAGTTAGTTCAACTCTAGAGCTTATATATCGATTATTTTTATTCTTGGATTTCCAATGTGGGATGTACTAGGGGTGGGTTCGATTTTAGAGGTACGGTTTTTACCTAAAACCAAAGACAGAACGGAAGGCATATTGGCGGTACGGTTCGGTTCGGTTTTGTATAAAAAGTGAGAAAACCAATCGTTATACGGTTCGGTTTTTAGCGGTTTAAATTTCGGTTTTTTTTCAATTCTTTCGGTTTTTAAAAAAATTAATTTAAAAGTAAAATAATATTTTAGGTAGAGACTTATTATTATATAGATATGCCAAACAATTAGTAGAGAGTAAAGTTTGAAAAACCTAAAAGTAAAACAATAAATAAACTACAATGGCAAGTACAAAATGGGAGAAATGAAGTAATTTGCAATCAAAACTTAAAAAATGAAGTAAAAAACTGGATGAAATGGAGTAATTGGCAGTCCCAAACTGCATTGCCCCCGATGGATGAGTCTGACTTGACTATGGCATAAACCTAAAATGCAAAAATGATAAAAGCGGAAGCCTAAAAGTGTAAAACTAATTAAAGTATTAAATTTTACATGTTTCGGTTTTTAGCGGTTCGGTTCGGTTTTAGACCGCCAAAACCGCAACCAAAACCGAATGCAATCGGTTCGGTTCGGTTTTTTGAATTCGGTTTTGGTTTTTGCGGTACGGTTTTTGTTTTGGTATTGTTCGATTGATTTCGGTTCGGTTTCGGTTTTCGGTTTTCCGGACCCAGCCCTATGATGTACTCTAACACTCCCCCTCAAGTAGACAACCGGGCCATTTTGAATCTAACCGGTTGACCACTTGCAAATGAACTTCCATTCCCTTAACTTTTTTTTTGAGCGCCAACACCTAAAGGACCACGAGCTGCTGGGTATGGACTTCCAGACGAGCAAGCGTGCTAAACGGGCCACAGGCCGTTGGGTACATACTCCATACGGATAACTGAGCTAAAGACTAACGGGCCGCTAGGAATGAACGTCTAGACGGACACCTTGACAAACGAGGTGGGCCAAAACCTGCTCTGATACCAACAGATACTTATATTCTAACGGGAGGTAGGGAGTATGTTAGTACAATATTTCATTAAATGATAAGAAGTACGGAGTATATGAAAATATGTAAAGAGAATTATTTGACCACTTGAATAATAACTATAAAGAACCACGTAGAGGGAGTATATTGCAATGGATTTTCTCTAAAATTTATGTTAGATTTCATCATTTATTTTAAGCTGAATACTTCTCCATCCTTCCATATTTTCTTTTACCCGCTTAAAACATCATATTATGCTGCTCCAATGAGTCCCCGGCCCCTATCATATGAAATGTAATACAAAAGTAACAAAACTACTTCTTATATCCTATAAAAAAATTCACATTTCGAACTTTGATATTTACTTGAATTTAATTTTATAAAATAAAAGTGGAGTGATTATATTATTGTCAAATGGTTTAAAAAAAATACGTGTAGAAGAAAATTTAAGTTGATCTTGAAATAATAAGTGTAAATAATTATACGTCAAGTGATAATAAAGTGAATAATCTATGTAGATGAAAAGTGGGATTAATATTATAATGGTACATTAATTAAAAGTTTTTTTGACAAAAGAGGAAACTGAAAATAAATCTTTGGACAACCCTAAAAAAAGTGGGAAATAAATTAATGAAGGGAGGGAGTAGATTTTACTCTCTACATTCCATTAAAGACTGCATTTTTGAAGCATTAACGACTGTTTTTGATAGAGCAGAAATAATTCAATGGATTGAAGTTGAAATTGTGTTCGGTTAGAATATAAAATGTGGAGATGCAATCATAAGTTTAAATTTGTAGTTGATTGATTTGGTTTCTTGAGACATGATATCAAAGTTTCATTTTACTAAAAAGTCATAAGTTGAGCGTGTCATATTGATGTAAAAAACACATTTCTCTAGTTTTAAGTAACAAAACACACAATTTTATATTCTTCACCATATATAAACCATCAATTCAAGGTTATGAATAATATGAAATGAAGAATACATTAATGAGGTAATTAGAGAAGTATGGCCGAAACAAAATTATTCCTTATGGATCATTCTTATTTAATCTGATACTCCATCCAGTACAAACCAATTAAACAGCAGTGATATAGTGATTATTAATATTAATAATAATTAATTAAAACCATAGATTAAAAGAAAGTGGGCATTATTAATTAGTTAATGAACTACTCTAATAATCCATCAGAATAGAGAATCTTGGGCGGTGGTTGTCCTTCTTTTCTTGTAATTAGCCTTGAAGCAAGCCTGTCTCAATTTCTTGGTTCTTTCAGTGAGCTCCATCTCTGGTAGACACTCCACCATCCTCTTGTGCTCTTCCAACATCTCTATATCTTTTGTCATTCCCAATTCCTATTTTCCATTTCATTTCATTTCCCCACACACAACAATTAAAAAAAACTTTTACTTTTTAATATCTCCGTACACGATTATAATTAAGTTGACGAGAATCGATTATTAATTAATTACCTTGGCGTTGTGGATTAGAGACCTCAAACTCTTGATCTTGCGATGAGGCCATCGCGAGATGTTGAGTTCGCGACACCGCTTCTTCAGCGCAGTCAACCCGACCTTCAACTCCTTGGCAGCTTTCGTGATGGGCATGTCAAAGTACTTTTGGATCTCATCAAACTCTAGCGTCGCGGGCTTGCACGAATTCATTGCGCGGCTTCGCTTCACCATCATCATCATCATTGTTGCCTCATCATCACCACCCTCGTATTTCGTGTCACAAGCGTCACGTTGCTCGTGGCAGTAGTTGTTGTTACTAGATTCTGAAGTAATGAGAGACTTTCCCCCTCCTACTCCTCCACTTTCTTGGGGGTCTAAATAATAATGGCCATTTTCTTGGAATGATGGTGTGGGCTCCGTGGGCGACTCCAAGTTCCACGCGCTCAAATCCCAACAAATAGTTTCAAAGTCCTCGATTTTGAAGTGTGACATCCCATTTTGAACGACGGGTTTCTGGCTCTGTTCGAGAGGATAGTAATCGATAAATCCTTCCAAAGTGTTGGATAAGTCGTACTGTAAGTTGTGATTCTCGTAACAGAATCCCTGTTCTTGCTCCCACGTTGGCCCACAAAATCTGGGCTCTTGTTCCCATGTTACCCTACATATGAAAAAGAATAGTATGACATCTAAGAATATATGACATGTAAAAGATTGAATAAAACTTATAGAATATGTTAAAGTAGTGCTTACATTTGAGAAGTGTATGGATTATCATCAATGTATAACCAAGGAGTATTCATCATGTTTTCGCCATTGGGGTGAACAACAATATTATTGTTGAATGACAATGTATTGGGATCCATGGAGTAGAGTGTAGTATCCAAAGAGAGAATTATCGTATTTGGTTGGATAATGGGGAACTAATACGAGTGTTTAAATAAGGGGAGATGAAATGGATTACTCCGTATGTGTGAATAGTACATGGGAATTAACTTTATCTCACAATATTTATTGCGTTTTTTTAAAAAAAATCTCTATTAATTAAACATTTGAACACTAGTGTGGTACGTGTATTGACCAATTAATAATTCGCAATTAATAATGTATTGTATCAATTTCAGTAAACATGAACCATATTTTGACTGATATAAACTAAAATACGAATGGTTAGAGCTATTAATGAAATGCTCTATATTTTTTTATTTATAAAAAAATGAACAGTTCTTTTTTCTTTTTTTTAAGGGAAAAAAGGGAACAATTCTAGTTATAATCCTAGAGACAAATTAAGTCAGGAGATTCATTTTAAAGAATGCCAATTATTTGCAATTTCATAGGATCTGATTTTTCACTAACAAAATAGGGAGTACTTTGTGTATTTTTCATTTGTATTTTCTTCGTCCCATAAAATTTTTCCATTTTGGTAAAATATGAAACTTAAGGAATTTTAATTCTTTATTTTACTTTGCAATTCTACCCTTATTTTATTGTAGAATATGATAGGATGTTATGAGTAGATTAATAATTAATAGATATACTGTAATAAATATGTTAATATTTAGTTACGTTGGGATAAAAAAAGTTAATAGAAAACGCAAATATTTTTTGTACGGATAGATATAGTGAAAATGGAAAGGTTTTTGTTGGGAGCTAGAGAGTACTATTCTAAGTTCAAAATATAATTAGTGGTTCACTATTTTTTATATATTTTTTCTCCATTCTTAAATTAAATTCGTAATTTATTTGACTTCATAGAGTTTAAGAGAAAAAATGTTGAAATATGAACAATGTCTGATATGAATTTATTTGAAAGCGAGAAAAAATTAAATTGTGTTCGAGCACATACTCTTTCCTTAAAAAAGAAACAAGAGAAGTCTAGTGTGAACTTTATTTTGTGAACTTTATTTTGAGACAGATAATGTGACTTTAAGTTGGGGAGAGAGGGCCGAGAGTAATGCGTACTTCCTGCATCCCATGGAAAAATGTTTTCTTTTTTACTTTCACGAAATTTAGTAAAAATGTTGAAGATGAAAAGAGTATGATTAAAATGGGTCAAGAGAAAGAGAAAATTTTATTAACCACAAACTTTTTTCTTTAAAAGTGCAGTTTTTTTTGGGACAAGCAAAAAAAAGAGAAAAGATTTCTATCGGATATGGTAATTACTACTAGTATATGAATATATTTTTTAAAACTATTTGAAACAATAACTTTTTTTGATGAGAAAAAAAGATAAAATTCTTAGATATTTTTTTGCTTTTATTTCTCCTTTCTTTTCTCTTTTAACCAAGAGAGAAATATTATTCTATCTCCATCTAATATTCTTAATTTTTGTTTCTTCAAATTCCTTGAAAGAGTAGTGTAAAAGATTTTGCAGGAGAGAGTAGTAAATATGAACTACGGAGTATGAAGGTAGTTAATGTAAAAGGATTGTTGAAAAGATGTAAAAACTGTGTGGAAATTAAAGAAGAAAATGACAAAGATTAGTTTTGAGAATGTTTTTAAAAATTGAGGTTTGAAATTTTGAATATGAATTAAAGCGCGACATCATTATTTTAAATAGCTTCAATAAATTTCCGATGTTTATAGCAGTTCAATCGTTTTTGTTGTGCATGGGATCCTTCACAATCGTTTATTGAGGTTTGAAATTATGGTTTTATTTATTTTTTTATTTTTGTAATTTTTATTTCTATTTTCTTTTTGTTTTTTCAGAGGCAAGACACCAAGACTAGTCTTTTTTTAAAAAAAAAGGAAAAGAAAGGATGAAGGTAGAAAGTTATTTTAAAAATTTAAAGAAAAATTTTAAAAAACAAAAATTCATAAAACATATTTGCAGTTTTGAAAAGATTATTTCTGTTAAACAACCGTTAGTAATTTAACAGCAACTCAAAACTCACAAATTTCAATAAAATTGAGATTATTAGATGAAATTATTTTAGAAAGAATGAATAAAGTTAGAATCATTCTCTTAAATTTTTCCATTTTTTTATGATTAAAAGAAGACACGCACACAAAAAAAAACGCACTAGTTCATTCCAATTGGTCATTACCCTTTGGCTCATTTTGAGGCCTGCCAGTGCCTACCCCACACTTTTGCCAATGTCCTTTTTTTTACCTCCACTTTGTCAAAAGGGTAGTGAAATCTCACTTTATCTTTCTTCTACCATGATGAGACGGCAAACATACACAAAGAACCCGTATGATACTATTACGGATCTAAAACAAATCAAATATTTTAAATTCGATTCGCGATTTGTATTCGAATATGATGATTCGAATTTCCGTTATTTAAATACAAATTCAAATTCAAATATTATTTTTGATTCAAATATTAGTCAAATACAAATACAAAAAAGAGATATATTCGATTCGGATAATATTCGAATATTCGAATATATGTATATATACACAGACCATGTTTTCAACATCAAAAGTCAAGCAAAGTAATATAGTATAAAGTATATTTAAAATACTAAGAATTCAATAAATTAACGTAACACGAAAATCTAAAGCATATGACTTTTAATAGTTACGGAGTATATTTTATAAAATATAATTTGTGTAAGATGAAAATGTATTAATGTTTTTATATACGGAATATAGTATAATATAAATAGTATCGTAAGTTAAATTACAAATTGATGTGGGTCCATCATATAAATTACATAGTATGATTATTCAAATATTCGTTTTTGATTTGATAACTATTCGAATATTAATCAAATACTTATTCAAATCTTATTTTGAATTCGTCTCATATTCGGATTCGGATTTGTATTCGAAAAAATTAAACAAATACAAATTCAAATATATCGGTATTCACTTCGATTCGGTTCGTTTACACCCCTACTCATACGGAGTATTCCCTCCGTCCCCCAGTTTTTATTCACTTTTGACTTTTGGAACTGTTCATCTAAGCACCTTGACTCATCAAATTCTCTCAATGTGTAAACCTAAATATAGTCATGTGTGATTCTGTTTGATTTGTCTTAACATATAGATTATTAATACGGATAATATAATTTCTATAATTTTTTAATATACAAATTACAAGATAAAATGGATTAAAAAAGTGCATTGGATGGTGTGTAAAAATGAAAGTGAACAAATACTCTGGGACGGAGCTAGTATTTTTAAATGGTTTGGTAATTTCATTTTTACACCTAAACTTACTAGTATCACACCCGTGCATTGCACGAATCATATTTACGTTACGAAATTGAAATAGGTTACATAACAAAATATAAAACTGTAAAGCTTGAATATCAAATAAATTACAAATTGTAAAAAACTTCTTTATAAACTACATTGGTACTCTTGAATCATTGATTACAACATTATTTTTTTGTTAAAAGAAACAGAGTGCAATGTATCCAAATGTAAGAAGAATTAACTGGTGAATTGATAATTGTCTTGTTTGTTTCATTTTAGAACTATTATTCGCAATATTTGACGAAAATCTCTACCAAACATAATTGGGTAATAAGACGGTACCATGCCATACTAATGCCAAATCAGTCCATAATACTTTAATGCTTTAAAAATATTTTTGTTTATGACAAGCAACCGACATAATTAAAAAATTGATGCAAAAATATTTTTATGCACTCTTAGTTTCTTATTCAACATGTGTATTGCATTGTTACAATTTTTTAAAAACTTAATCATAATTCACAACTTTTACAAATAAAACTATAATTCGAGTATTACTTGGAGGTATTAAAGTATTATAAAAACATAAGTTTAACCATGTGAAAGTAATACCAAATAAATATCACCTAAACTTACTAAAAATTAACAAATGAAAATGTATAATTTATTTATTAATTTAATATTTTAGTGGTAGCAGTTTGATGGCTATAAACCACCGAATATATTAAATAATATAAGTTTTAAAGAGAGTGTTATAATTTTTGTACGGATTACAACGGACGGGAAAGATGAACGGCCCCGGTAATAAAAATAAATAAAATTCTGAATTTATAACTTATTCAGAATATTACAAAATAAAAAAGAATAGAAATTAAATTTCTATATCTTTTAAAAAAGTCTCGTTGTATGAGGACAGTAAACACTGGACAACGAGGTCATTATGCACTAGGCAGCAAGGACGTCATGCACTGGGCTGCAAGGACATTATGCACTGGACATCAAGGACATTATGTCCTAGGGCAGAATGCAGCGAGGTCTTTATTAGCTGTACCTGCAAAAACAAAACACCGTAGAAGGACAGCGGAGTCGCCGGAGCTGTCCTTAAGGTAGTAGTGCCCGCCTACCGTACCGGAAAAACGTGGGCACTCTCCTCCCAGGATAAAACCGCTATCGTGTGTGGAGATTGTACGGATCAACCACACACCAACAAACAAGAACAACGTAGGAACGTTGGCGACCAAAAAAACTTTAAAGGGGATGGCTGGAAATTTGGCCGGAAAACCAAGAGCACTCTCAAAAAATAAACAAGAAAGATTTTCTTTCTTTTTCTTTTTGTTTCTCACGTGAAGCACATAAGGAAAATGGAGAGGAGCCCTTTGATTTTATAACTAAGGTGTTTAAAATGTGTAACTCCTACACCATTAACCCTTAGAAATAATCATGGCATTTGTGGCACACTTAATACCGCGTTAATGGTGATTAATTAGCCATTAACACGTCCGTTACGCTACGCTCCATTTAAAATTTGTCCCGAATAATTGGAGATTAATGGCCAGTTAACTCCGTAAGAAAGGACTAATTTTAAACAATACGTAAAATTAATAAAAGAAGATTGGTTCAGTAAAATTGCAAAAATTGCAATCATCACCATATTCTTTAATTAACGGGTTAACTCTGAGAATCAATTTCTCATTCACCCTTTACCATTTTTGGCGTAATATTTGTCAAAACATTTATCTCATTTAAGAGAACACACGTCCATTAATTAACGGTTAAAACCGTTAGTGGACCTATTAACAAATATACCCAAATTGGTCCATTTAATGCCTATTAAAAATGCCAAAAATTCCAACAATCCCCCACATGAATGAAAAATTGATTTG